GTCAATTCTACATTAGATTTAAGAACTTCAAATGAAACATATTTCACGTCAATTTTATCTATTATACTTATCCATTCAAATATAAAATTTTGGGTAGAAATTCTCTTAGTATTTGAAATTTCACGTGTTTTATTTATTTATTATTATTTTAATTTATGGAATTTGCAGCTGTAAGAAACGAATTAATATCTGGTGCCAAAGATTTTTTTTATTTTTTTTTCTTTTTAGGGTTTTAGATGGGAAACTGTGCAAAATCAGAATGTGGACATTTTGGGACTATCAGAGCACAATTAAAAGATATTGGAGGACTAAAAAGTAAAAAGAAACGAGGGAATTTTATCATTGAGAATGACATCACACACGTACCTACGACCTCACGTGCATGCAACCAACCCATGCATGCATGCCTTAATTACAATATTACCCCTTTTTTGTCTTATTGATAAAAAGTAATATTGGGTTCGTTTGGAAAGTGGCAGTGGATTGATTTTTTGATTTTTTAATTTTTTGACTATTTTAATTTGGGGTTAAAAAACTTGATTTGGGAAGAATTTTTGGTTTTTTTTTGGTTTTTTTGACTTTTTTTGTAAGAGAAATAATGTAATGATTATAGGTTGGATGTGATGTCCGGTCTTATTGACTTAAAAAATCTATTTTGTTTTTTGTGGTTAAAATAGCCAAAAAAACCCCAAGTTGGACTTTCCAAACGAAGCCATTATATATAAAAAAATTCATATAAAATAATGAAATTTTGTGATTCTTTATTTTAAATAAAAACTCACTATTGAAATTTATAATTTCAAAAACCTCAATATCATATCATTCTGTGTGAATTGTCTGTATAAAAATTATGGCCTATTTTAGAAAGATGGTTAAAAATTAATTTTTTTTGTCTTTTTTAAGTTTTTTTTTTTGAAAAAACATGTCAAAAATGTGAGAAATGATAGTCCAAAATGAGTTAAAAGCTAATTTTTGACTTTTTTAACTCTTCCAAAAAAATCCTATGTAATAAGAGGTGAAATGTGTTTGTAAATATTTAAATTAAAACGAGCATTAATTGTTAGAGATCATGAAACTTGAAAGAGTCATCCATGGTGTTCAATTTAGGGCTGTTGCTCATAATTATAACTTTAAATTTTAAGAGTGATGCTACATGCACTAATTTTTTTTTTTTTTGGATCAGCAAAGAAAAATTTCATTAACAATATGAAATTACAGGTATAGGAAGATGACATGCATCGAGAGAGATTCGAAAAGTATAAAAATACTCCTACTACTGTTACTCGCACCCATACAACCAACCCCTTGGCCTCACGATTTTTTTTTTTTAAAACAAAAAAGTTAAGGACTTAACTAAAAAATTAAAAATACATAAATCCCCTCAAAATCAACCCACCAAACACCACTGATCAACCCAAAAATCACCTAACACCTATGCTGCTACAACTCCCTAAGCACACACCACTCCCTAAGCACACAACCAACCAACCTACACGCACCAATTAGTATACTAATTAGTGTATTAATACTAGTTATGACATTATTATTAATTCCACTTATTATACAAATTATAAATACTAAAAACATCTTAAATTATGTCACATCATCAAGTGGTACATCAGTTAGTACACTTATTGGTGCATATAGCATTAGTCAAATTTTAATTAATCCCTAATACATCAGTTAATGAAGTAAATGAAATCTAGTTCACCAAACATTTTTCTGTATCACATGTACTAGAAGAGTTTACTATGAGCTCCTCCACTAGTAGGAGTTTCCATGAGTTATCCTTACTCAAGTTTGTTGATGCAAATTATGGTTACAAATGTTACTTATTCAGAAAAAAAATTTAAGTTTGAATTTGCATAGATTTGAGTTAGTGTTATGTGGAGCAAAACAAAAATGAATTTAATTTAAACACATTTCAAATTCTGTACGTTTTTTTAAAAATAATTTTTCTAGATATGCAAGATTATAGAGTTAGCATTCATTCAGTTGAATTTTTAAAACAGTTTTTGAGTTTTTTTTTTGTTCTTGTTCTTTAATAAAACATATTTTAATATATTATAATCAATTTTCTTAGTTTTTTAATATACTTAATCTAGATGCACCTAAAAAGTAAATTGTTTGTAAAGAAATCTACAAAAGTTTACTAGAGACAAAAAAAAATCCAAAAATATTATGCCAATTTTTTGGCTTTTTTTTTTTGTCTGCAGTGATTTTTTAAGATTTCTTCACAATTAGGTGAATTTAATTTTTTTTTTAAAAAAAAATCATTTTAAACAGATGTAAATTATCACAATCCAAGTCAACGATACTAGATTGCATGCTTCAATTAAAGTTTTTTTTTTGTGCAGTCTACATGATCTGTTGCCTATTTTTGACCAGTTGATATAATGAGTCTTCTTTTGAACTTATGCATGGGACCAACTTATAAAGTTTCTAACAATATGCCAAACTGATTTATCTACCATGCCTAAACCAAGGGCAAATTGGGCAATCTCTTAGAAAAAGAGGGGAAAATATAAAATTAAAAAACAAAAAAAAAACCCATATTGTAGACCTACTACTTCATAATAAAAAAAATCTGTTTGTTTCCTTAGAAATCAAGAAAATAAATTATAGAGTATAATGGATGGGAGCTAAAAACGAAAAGAGAAAGTAGAAAAAAGGAAGGTATACTACGTTAGGGGGTATTGGATATTGGGTATTGGTCATGGTCATGCATGGAATGGAGACATTTCCCAAAGAGAATCGAATCAGTCCTCTTTGTTTGTTTTTTTTTTTTTTCCCGGCTTTTACACAGTTTGCTACAGACTTCTCTTTACCATTCTCCAAGAAAATGGTGGGTGATAATAATATATACCTCATGGCTTTCTTATTTTTATTCGTCAATGTGAATATTCACATTGTTAACGGACTGGGCCGGGCCTGCCCCAACCCGAGCCCGGGCTTCGGGTTGCCCACGGGTCATGGGCCAATTTTACACTCTTGTCAATGTTAATGTTAATGTTAATATGTCAATGTGAATATTCATATTGTGAACGGGCCGGTCCGGGCCCGCCCCGGGCGACGGGCTGGTTTCGGGCAGCCCACAGGCCGCAGGCCAATTTTACACTCCTATCAATGTGAATATTAACTTGTCAATGTGAATATTCATATTATCAACGGGCCGGGTCGGGCCTATTTTTTTAGCTTGTGGGCCGGCCCGGTTCGACTCGAATTTTTCCGGACACCCACGAGGATCGACATGAGCCGGGCCCCTACACATTAACGATATAAACATTTATATTGACGGTGTGAACATTCACATTATGGGTATTTTGGTAATTATGTCACCCATAAGACTTATTGAAACATAAGAAAATAATGTGAACTAAATGCAACATAAGTAGATGAAAATGGTATTTTGGTCTTCTTATCTCAAATTTGACCTAATGGAATAGTCAAAAAGAATATGGGTTAGATGGAATAAAGCTGTTAGAAAATGGATTTATCAAAAAAGCTCCCATCTTTATTTATGTAACTAATTTTAGGGGCCATTTGGGAAGCAATAAAAAAGTTAGCTTCTAACTTTAACTAATTTTGAGTCACATTACCTCTCACACTTTTTATACACAAAAGGACAAAAAAATCAAAAATCAAAAATCAAAAAATCAACTTAAAATCAACTTCCCAAATCACTCCTTAGAAAGAACTACATATCCCTTTGTTGTTACTTAAAAATTTCTCTCCGGTTGGTAATTCAATTGAAGATAGACTTTTAGGTTTAGTGGGTCTATTTCGAGACTTATCTCGATTATTCGAATTATTTATTTTATAAAAATTATTAAAAGATAATTTATATAAAAAATTAAATTGATTAGATATCAATATTAACTCGATAATTGCCTATCTAATCAATATGATTTTTTAAATAAAAATACTAACAACACCTCAACGGGAGAGAAGCTCAATGCTATCAGCAAATAGGTTAGAAATACAAACCCTCCACTTTTGATTACGTAGGAATGCATGAGAGAGAATTATATCATCACATTTCCTATTTAAGGTCTAGCTTAAGTGACAAATATTTTGAAGAGAAAGTTTAATGTTTGAGAAATTTTATATTTTTGGAAAAATTACAAGTTAGTGTAAAAGATTAAAAATAATTATAAATAAATGATTATTTTGTTGGGGTGTAAATTTTTTATTTTTTATTTTGTATAAAGAAACCACAACAACAAATCTAAAAAAATAAAAAATAAAACCATAACAAAAGTTGTGTCTCCCACCTTTCAATAAATAATTTTTGCACTTTCTATTTCATTATAATTGTCCGTTTATTTTTTTTTTTCTAATATGTAGACTCTAGAATTGTATATGAGTATTTCCTTTTCAGAGAAAAGAATTTTCATATTTAGTTTTCACTTCCTTTTCAGAGAAAAGAATTTTCATATTTAGTTTTCACTCTTTAGAGTACTCCCATCTCAATGTATATATATAAAAATATATATATATATAAATTACATTTTTTTGTTGGCCTTGTTTTTTCTACCCCTCTTTCTATTAGTTTCTCACCAACCTTTGTTTGAGTTAGTATATGATTGAGTATCTGTCTTAATGTCAATCTAATTAGAATTTGAATGATATACTATAATACTTTTTGCTCTTTGCATCCTCTTTATTAACAACAATGATAGAGACCACTAATTTTGGAACTCTAAGAATATTACTAATAACATTGCACTCAATAAAAAAAGAAAAAAAAAATACAACACCAAGGCCAAAACATCAAATCATTCATAGTAGGGCCCACTGCCACATCATTAGTGGTAGCACTAATTAGTGCTCTCACTCATTTTTCCTATATTAATGTATATTCTTATGTAACTTTTGTTCATTTCATCAATAAAATTTGTCCATATAAAAAAAAAAAAAAAGAAGTTTTATGGGATTCCATTGTTCAAAGCATATGGCAATTGAAGAATATATAAAAAAGAACATCCTCACTAGTCCTCCATTCAAGCTCGATTATCGAGGCCTACTCAAGTATATAAACCACACCCTTCCACAACCAAAATCACCACCCATTAAGTTTCTTCAACAATCTCTTCTTCTTCTTCATCAACTGCTGTCCTCTTTTTTCTTTTTCCTTTTTTCAAGGTAAGCCGTAGTCCGTGCTTGATTTACAGCTCATGTTTGGCATTTCATTCATCAAAAAACAACAAAATTTCTCAACAATTATAGTCTTGGCTTCGATTCTAGTTTCATAAAATTGTGTTTGACCAAGAATTTTGGATTGAATTTGTGAAGGGAAAAGATGAGGGGAAATAGAAATCCTCATCTTTATTTTCTCACTACAATCTCAACCAAAATGTTAGATAAAAACATAAGGAACTTGTTTTTTGCTATGATAGTGTTTAATTTCCGTGTCCCTTTTGTACATAATGGTGACTAGCAAGAGTAAATATTGAGTATAATAGTGAGGTTAAATATTCTTTATCCTTGATTGTTTTTATCGTTTTGTCTTAAAATATTCACAATCATTAAATCATGTGAGATTCTTAGAGTATAGAAATCTCGAAACATAATCAACTATTGTAAATGTTTTGGGACACGTCCGAGTCTCTCTTCTTGAAGTTGCTAGAAGTGTTCATTATTTACTAGCAGACTAACAAGAGAAATGTGAGCAAACATAGCATAAAATGGTTATGTCGACATAAAATTAATTTCTTTTCTTTGCTCTCTCTATGTTATTCTTTTTGACAGGAAACATGAGCAGGCCAGGAGATTGGAATTGCCGGTCATGCCAGCACCTCAACTTCCAGAGAAGAGACTCGTGTCAACGTTGTCAAGAGCCAAGAACTGGAGAGAGGGCTGACTATGGAAGTTTTGGCGGGAGGGGTGGCGGTTCATCATTCGGCTTTGCTGGCCCTGACGTAAGGCCCGGTGATTGGTACTGTGCAGTTGGGAACTGTGGAACCCATAACTTTGCTAGCCGCTCGATCTGCTTCAAGTGTGGTGCGTGCAAGGATGATGTATCCGGTGGTGGCGGTGGCTTCGACAGTGACATGCCTCGTGGTAGAGGTTTTGGGTTTGGCAGTAGTGGCAGTGGTAGTGGCAATCGCTCTGCATGGAAATCCGGTGATTGGATTTGCACTAGGTAAACTACTTCTGCACCAGAGGAAAATATTTCAAATGAAAATATTCTTAAAACCTTAAATTTTTCGAAACCCTAATTTTTTTGTTTTCAAAAAAGGAATAATAATAAATAAAATGAGCAATGCTAGGTATCATGAAAAGTCTTTTATGAAAATGGTCATGAAAGATTTGTGACCTTTGGATTACACTTACAATAAAGTATCACACACTAATCAAGGTAATCTAAAGGTTACAAATTTTTCATGATCCTTTTCATGACAAAATTTTCATGATCTCTAACATTTCTCAAATAAAATTCCCCACTCGGTTGTGAGTGCATGACACTAGTCTACTTGTACGTATTTACTTCCATGTAGACATGCATGCACAGTAAGTGTAGTATAATATAAATATATTATTCAGATAAAATGTTTTCTTATTTATTAGTTTATTATTTTACACAAATATGTTGAAATATTGAACAGATGCAACGAGCACAACTTTGCTAACAGGATGGAGTGTTTTACATGCAATGCACCAAGGGAGTCTGGTACCAAGTCCTCCTACTCATCATAGATTCCCCATTTTTGGCCAAGGTCAAGGCTTCACCATCTTAATTCTTTATGAGTTGAACTTGTCACCCGTTCGGATTCTTACATGGATGTCAATTCTGAACACCGAATGCTCACCATGTCAAATTTTTTTTTTTGAATTAATGGTTTAGATTTTGTACATTCACTTGCAAATCTAATATTAAATCCAGATAAAAAATTTGACCCAATATAGAATGAGTAGATTAAATTTAAACTTATAATTTTTTTTTAAAAAAAAAAAATAATAATAATAAAATATCGAGATGGCACTACCACATATCCATTCCTCGACTAAAAAAAACCATTCTCATAATTTATCTCATAAATTACTTACAAATATGGTTGACTGAATCTAATTTTTCAGGTACTGCAGTCTTGAGAAGAGAATCAAGGAAGGTCATCCCTTATGATATCCCAAGTTGATCTTTTTGCCCACAGCCTTTTTTTATTTTTTTTATTTCTCTTTTCTCCAAGGGAGCCTGTGATGAATTATGGTTGAAAACTCATGTTCCAGTAGGTCTGAATCTTTAATTTGGTGAACTTTTTCAATTTCAAATATAGCCATGTAGTTCTTTTGGTTTTAATATAATATGATCAGTGTGTGTTTTGGTGCAAAATGAGACTTGTGAAATCTTCTTGCATTATATTATGGTTGTGGAGAATAAATATATATAATAAAGTCATGATTTTTTTTTGACAATAAATTTTTAATTAAGTTGATAATTAACAATTTAACAAAATATCAAAGCAGACAATAATAATATGTTCGAAACTCACCACCTATGACTAATTAAAATTTACGAAGAGCTGAGTTAGAGAATACAAAATAATTGAAATATTTGATATTTTGTGAATTATATCCAAAACTAATCTAACTTAATCTAATTTAAATATTTAATTTTTTGGGAATCTGTACTAGCAAAACTTTCAGAAAGATTCTCTCTCTCTCTGGAATGTTGCATCTATACATTCAAAACTGCTTTTTTGAGGGAGTGTGGTCCAAGGAAATTTTGACAACTCTTTTCTGCAATCATAACTGTAAATCAATACAACTTATCTGCAAGACTGCAAAGCAATTTAATAAATTATTATTCAAGGACCACAATGAGACTTTTGGTTAAACCTATGCTACGAATTAACAGATATAAGATTTTTAAAATATGAAGGAAAAAAAAAAAGAAGCTGCGTATGCTAGACACTTCTTGATCTTATGATGTGTTGGATTCACTTGGAATTGAATCAAATACTAAATTTAGTTTATTTACAATTTTTTTTATTTTTATGAATCAAATATAAAATTAAATATTTTAATAAAATAATTATTGTATTCTCCAATGAACCAAACACTAGTTTATTGCATTAACTCCAATCAAATTACAACAATCCTATTATATTGATGTAATTTACTGCTTTTACGGTATTATTCATCAATAAATTTGTTATGAGACATTTACACACGAGTCCTAATTTATGAACTTATACTCTATTAAGTCCTAGTTAAGATTTTTTAGACTTTCAAGTCCTATTAAATTTTTAATAATCGAAATTGCCCTTTAAATAATGATTATTCATCATTTATGATTATCTATAAAAGAACATGATTTAAAATTTTAAAACATTAACTTTCAAATTGAAAAAAAAAATGTATTTTTTTGAAAAAGTAGAATTATTTTTTTCTGCAAAATTAAAATTTTTGTGTCTATAAAGGAGCATGATGACGATGGAACATTGAGATGCAAAACTGAACAAAAAAAAAAAAATTTAAAATGAAAAAACTGAAAATGTTCTCAGTTTTAAAACTGGAAAAAATTATAATATTCTCAGTTTTATTAAATAATTAAATCAAACTAATAAGTAAAATGGTAAAAGCGTTTAATCTCATGCTCTGTTTTTTTCATCAGTTGGTGAAACAATTATCTAAAATATTACTATGCAAAATTGATAATGTTCTTAATTTTAAAAATTGAAAAAAAAACTGATAATATTCTTAATTTTACTAAATACGACTTATTGGTTCAAAAAATCTTAAATAGGACCGTAACTACCATAACATTTGTAAATAGAATTTTTAAGTAATTAACTCATTTTTTATTTTACAGATTAAAAAAATACAGCAATTTGGTTTTTTATGTTATCTTTAAGTTTATGCTTTGTAATGGACTTACTTAATTGATAACGATTTTATAATAATCACATTTTTTAATTATATCTTGTTTATTAATTCATGAACTATCTACTAAACTAATACAATACAAAAAGTCAAGCTCATTCGTTGTTTTGACGAAGGGTAACGACACCTTCGATCTTTTGTTGGCATCTTCCACTTTCGGACATATGCAAATTGTTACTTAAAATTTAAATTTTTATTTATTTATTGTGACGAAAGAAAGCTTATTTCCCTCCCTGTGTATTGCTTGTTATGGCTGCCTTAGGGTTTAGGGTTCTTTTTCCCGCATGCCGGATGTAGAAGACAAGATGCGCAAAGACGCGTACGAAAGAGGTCTGCTTTGCTCGGAAACTTTCAAATAAATCACATTCTTTTTTTTTTTATTTTGTGTGTGACCTTTTTCTAAAAGGCAGTGGCTTTGGTCCAGTCTAAGATCGGATTGGATCGTGCTGTTGAGCTCGTGAAGGCCCACTACGGGTCCCGTTTTGATAATTCGAATCGTTCAATGTGTATAACTCGTTGAGTACTATATGCCTGTAAAAAATCACGTTGATCGAATATCGATAACTATGTGAACAAAACCGTTTTTTATCAACCGTTAATTTTTTCACCGTCAATTTTTTCACCGTCCATTTTTTTTTTAATACAAAACTGATTTGATCACATAGCTACTGATATCCGATCAACGTGATTTTTTACAAGAATATAGTACTCGACGAGTTCTACACATTAAACGGTTTAGTTTATCAAAATGGGCCCAAAAAATGGGACCCATGGGCCGGACTGGACGGGTTCAGTCTTGATCTCAACTTGAGACAACCTGGACCCTTTCTAAAATTATTGATTTATTTTTTTTATTTTTTTATTTTTTTATTTTTTTTTCAGTTCATGATGAATCTACCAAACCCAAATCAAGTCTCAAGTCTTATCAAATAGAGTTGGCTACATAAATCATTTTTCTTCATCTATTTAAAAAAAACAATAATGATTCATTCATAAAAAAAAAAAAAATTCCCAAATCCACACGAATGAGATGGTAAGAGTCTCATTTGGAAGCATTCCCCGCCGCGGGGGGAGAGGGGGGGAAGAGTCTTATTCGGGAGCATTCCGCCGTGGGAGGAAGAATTGTTTGGATGAATTATTAATCTAAAAAAAAAAACTGACATGGATACTAACGGGGTTAAGAGTTGCTGCTGTGCCAGGCTTGTAAAGGTATTTACCGAGTGTATTTTGATAATCTAAACTATTCATATTGTAAGGTTTGTCGAGTATATCATCTATTAAAAAAATCAAGTTAATCGGACATTTGTAACCCCATGATCTAGTCCTAATTGTTTTTTAAAAATTATGAAAATCATGTTAACTGCTTATTTTTTGAAAAACAAATGTGCTCTTATTATGAGGCTACAAATGTCCAATTTACTTGATGTTTTACATGGTTGATCTACTCGACAAATCTTACAATATGAACAATTCGAATTATAAAAAAAAATACTCGGGACACACCCTCAACGAGCCTCACAGCAGCCTGATGTGCCCAATTCCCTAACTAGGAATGTGCCATGTCAGTCCATTTGAGAATTTGACCTATTGTCTAGGCTCAAGCAACACTTCTTATATACCATGTTAAAAAAATTGTGTCCATTATTAATTGGCAATTCTATATTTCTTTGATCTACAATTGAAAAAGAAATCTCACTAACAAATTATAACTAGAATTTCAACAAGAACCCTTAGTCAGAACTATTTTATTAATGAAAATAAGATTAATATGAATTAAAATATTAAAGAATTCAATGTAATTACGTTAAATTTGTGAGTGTCAATATATTTTTTTTCAAATTTTAAGAGAGATTAGTGTAATTTTTTTTTTATATGACTGATGATCAAACCTCTTAATCTCTTCCATCATTGTGATTTTATTAACTTTTTACTTTATCCTTGTTTTAACAAAAGCAAAAAAATCAGCCCATTTGCCAGTTATTAATTGATATTACTGTGAAAACAAAATGCCATGCAATTATTGGTAGTTTTATGTTTTGGAATCAGGACTAAATAATGACAAGGATTGGACCAAAAGAACAAAGAGAACAAGGAAAAAAACAAAAATAAACTGCAAAAGTCATATGAGAAAAAAGAGTTAAATTTTGACAACACTGAAAAAAGCAAAATTATGTAATCATCACAAACGGGCCAATATATTATCCAAGAATCCTACATGAGATTATAGTCCGACTCTTTTCACTAATTTATAAATTTATATATATATATATATATATATGAGATTATTTATAAAAAATTATTTATGAAAATATAAATAATAAAATTATTCATATCTTTAATAATCACATAACACAGATAAAATAACTTCAATAAAATTATATCTTTTTATGATGAGTTTCATTATCTGATACATATAATTAAAATTATTTTATGTAATTGATTTTGTATAGATAGACTCATTGTAAAAAGAGAGATGCCCCTCTCTGCAAAATGAGTCTTTAGATAGACTCATTGTAAAAAGAGAGATGCCCCTCTCTGCAAAATGAGTCTTTATAGTAAGTAGTAGTTCTTTTTCTTTTGAGTATGTCTTTCAATGTTGTGGGAGGGACCATCTCTTATTAATGTAATGTACTTCCAATCAAGAAGATCTTAGTGAAAACATATTTAAATATATAGTTTCACATAGGATTCCAAAGCTTTTCCAAGTTATATAACAATCTTTTGTGGGTTTCGCTTCATTGACCTCATGGGTACATGGGGGCTTTATACTGAAGATTTATTGGTCAAAAAGTAACCACCACATTCATTAGTGTCTCCATACTACACTCCATTATTTAGCTTTTAGCAAGATTCTTGTCTCCCTTTAAGCAAGCTTTATGTTAGTTCATGTGGGTCGTTGATGTTTAGTCAAGTACCTCCCACATGTACACTATCATGTCATTTGGGGTCCAAAGCTACTTTGATGGTTTGCTTTGAGGTTTTGGTGCCATGTTTATCACTACATAAATCAAATATTAAACATTGTTTTTAACTAATCGATAAGAGATGTGAGGACATGTTTTTAAGTAGGACTAGGTAGTCTATGAGGTCGGTTTATATGGTGGAATCTTGAACAGATGTTACGTGATACAATATGAGTCGTCGAGATAAAAATGAATATCAAACTTGATTAATATAATATTTCTAAGTTGGGTAATTCGGCGGTATGATAAGAAACATACTTAAGTTGGATGAGGAAAGGTTTCCTAAGGGGTAAAACCATCCAATTAGGGGAGTTAGTAAATGGGCGACAACATCTCAACGGAGGAAGCTGATTTACTTTGCTGGATCAAGAAGAAGGTGAAGTAGTGACGAGATGACGGCTCGTTGGAGGAAATTGAAGTGGAGCGTAATGAATATGTTGGTATGGAATGTGAGGTAGGTCTGGATCTCCCACTTAGTACCTCT